CAAATAGAAACAAAGCCATTATGACCAGTTTTCCTTCCTTCTTTCAGAATTACTCAGAAAAATTTTTTCCTAGACAAAGGTTGATCAGCCGCGAACGAATGCTGCCGGATGTCAACTCTACAACGTCTGGTATTTGTTATGGTTATAGGGCTAAATTGAATATGCCTAGGTTTTCAATTACAGACACTAAAATCGTGTCATGTTTGACTACGCGACGTATTGCTAAATATCTGCCCTCAGTAAGAACTTTCCTTCGAAGCTGTGTTCCTATATTTCAAAATTCTAACAGAAGTACTTGGCACGTTTTGATCGAAAAATTTCAACAGACCTATTAACGAACAATTATGGGAACGCAAATAAAAAGCGCCTATTTTCGATTTCTAGTCTGCTCGTTTGAGTTCGTTTAATTGTGAACACAGTTTCTGATTCAATGCAGAAGAAGAAGCGGATCATTAAGACGGCAGAAAAAATATCAATGAAACATCCTGCGCTCGCGAAAATAGATTTACTTTGATACACGAGCTCTCTACCATCAGTGAGAATTATGAGCTTATCCGCTCACCCCTCGCGGCATACATATACCCTGCTGTTTATTTTTTCGGTTTTTTGCACCGATCAATTAATATTTTCCACAACGCGCTATTTTCTCTTTTAAGCTTTTAAACTAGAATCGAAACATATCCAAGCTTAACAAAGTGAAAGATAACAGGCGTTGGAATAATCTCATATTGTTCGCAGAGTTGGAACTATTGTACATCGCAACAGAACATGGAATTTACTAGAAAATCGAGTTCTTAACTAATTTTCTGCGAATAAAGGCAATTGACATAGAATTGTCGACTTAACTGATTCAAATCGATCAAGAAACAGGGAGGCTTCTTTAACGTAAATGAAAACTCGCTGTTCTCCACGAGCGCTCACGGAGAAGTCACGGACAAAACATGACTAAAGAAGACCATTGACCAAAAATCAAACACCAGTATGTTGGTGACAAAATAGTCATAAAAGCAGTATAACACAGAATAAACTAAGTAAACTGGTAGGTTTTTCAGGGACAAACAATGCTGCAAATTACAACTCAAGTAAAAGAGCTGAATATCGAAGACATAATCACGCGCAAATATAGTGAGATCGCGTGTTGGCGTCTTGTTATGTTCGCGGAAGGCAAAATTCTTGAAAAGCGACTGCTTACACTTCGTCGGAAAACTTCAAATCTAAATAATTTTCCCGTTGTTTGCAAACACTGGCCTACTCAGCTGCACGGAGATTCAAGCCATCCGTTGCTTTCCAAGATCGTTTCAACTCATTCTCGTTGACGCCTAGAGGAAGTGAATTTAAAAAGACTAGCCGCCGTATTAGAGTCAACGATAACCGTTCGACTTCACAATTTCTAGCGATCGCGCGCTGTTTAAGCGATGTCATGACAGTATTCGGTTTTTTTTTCCTTCTCGCCTACGCTTGAAAAAAGTCGAAAACGATAAGAAAATCCCGATGATGCAATGACGAACAGAGAGTATGCCGTGATGAATATCACTAAAATACTTGACGCGACCGAGCGCCTGATAAACAGCGCCGATTTTGATGGGATTATTAAATACACGAATATGGCTTGTGCGCCTACTGTAGAAGTTTTGAATATTTTGAGCCCTGTAATACGAAAGAAAGGGTCTTTCAAAACTATGACTTGGCATTATTGTCTGTCCTTCCTAGAAAATAAAACGAATCTACCTCAAAAACACCACACGGTTTAGTTAGATACAACAAAAGTAAAAATTTTCCTTTCAGCTGGGATAACAAATCTGCTACTATAAAGCGTAACTGCGGTGCTAAAACAGTCGATTTTACCGATCTAACTTAAGACAGCACATAGTCACGTATAGCTCACGCGGACAAGACTACTCTACCCCTATTAGCTGCGAAGTACGTAACATGATCGAATACAGATAGTCTGAGTCCAGATTCCACATGATCATTTCGTTTTGCGACAAGCAAAGGCACACAGATCGTCGCAAAAATGCAAGTTGCTAACAAATACTGTATACCCACTAGCTTTGTGATTCCGAAAACCTAAACTTGGCAATGTTATTTGTGCCTACTTGGCAATTCAGCTAATATCAGTCGAACCACCAAACCGTGGTACAATGTTCAGACTCGATTACGTTGATTCAGTCGCGAAGAAATATCTTAATTTTCGCCCCTTCGAACGAGCACGAAATATCTTGGAAAAACGCTAGTACGAAGGGTGAATTTAAATCCCACGTGTTATTTGACGAAAAAATCGTCAAAGCCATTGATTGCCCACGGTTTTGCGCGAACTGGCACAATAAATAATTGAACAAGCGAAGAAAACTGTGAGAACTTACCTGCACTCGGCACGGTTGGTGGATAATATTGCGCTTGTAAGGGAGAGATAAACTCCGAATTTCTCGCGATGCCCACTTCTGGTGAAGGAAAGCCTGCTGAATTGGAACCATTTTCCAGCGTAGATTGTGAAGAAAAAGCTTTGAGTTGGCGGAAGATCGGGTTTGTTGTTACAGCCTCATGGGCGAATTGTTGACGAGGGTTGGCCGTCTTCGCTTCCAAACTTTGTACTTTTGTCGATAAAAGGGCCGATTTTTCGGGCGATCTATCCATGTCTCTATTTTAGACAGCGAAAACAGTGGTTCTATCGGGCGGCAAAATTCTCGTTAGCATAGTTTCGAACACGGTTATGCGACTCGACGTTCTAAAGGCGGAAACGTGAAAAGCTAAGATTGCTTTTCAATTCAAGTCGTCTGTGATGTTGAGTTCTGTACAGAAACAATGATCTTGCATGCTAATTGGTTGGCCGCACGCCCCCTGCAAGCCGATTTCACTCATTCACCAATCACGTGCGGGCAAAGTTGACAATTTCCTTGATACCTAACACTGTTCATTGTGAACAATGCAAGGCGTTTTGGTAATACATGTATATGTGTAATTTAGCGCTGTTGCAAGATTATGCTGGAGGAGGTTTCCCAGAATAACATCGCAACATATCGTCGTCAAGCTACCTAAAAAAATAGCATCTGTCGCGAGGTGTTCGAGGCACATCGACTTTGTGGAAAATAGAGGCGTGTTACGTCAACTAAGTCGTTGTTCAATTTAATTCCATTCGTGCGCGCTGTGGATCAATCAAAGTTGACATTTGTTTCGTTCGTTCGTTCACCTAATCGCGTTTCGAATTCCGTTCTCGTCCGATTGTCTCCCAGGATTTAAATTTTTTACATCTTTGTAATCCTCGAGTGGCAATTTGTTTCCTGACTTTATTTTTAAACCGTACATCAGATCGCTCGTAACAGCTGTACTTTGTTTACGACGTTGTTCACAATAAGAATATATAAGTTATATATTGGACGCACGATGTGTTTTTCAATTCTGCCGAATCATTTATTTTATCAATATCAATGAAAAGACCGACGGTTGCCCCAGGGGAAGGTTTAGCGTTTCTTTTGTCGATCCAGATCAGCTGAGGGCCAACCAAAATTACAAATCGATTAGTTGAGGCATGAAATCATGGATACGCAAATTTAGTGCGCTGTTTGGGTCTGAGTTTATTTGCGTGCGTCTTAAGTATCGGAAACATTCAGGAGGCAAATCACTTGTAGCTCTCTAACTTGCATTCATATCAGTTTTACAGTACATATCACTGATTTTAAGGACTTTAAAGAAGGTCAAGGTGTGAAAATTTAAAATACGGATTACATCAAACTTTATTTTGGTGGACAGGCGTCACGCAACGTGACGTGGCGTGATCATAAAAGTGAAAGTACAGATTTGCATCTTTTGCGGTTTTCGCTCGTGGTGGTTTTCATTTATAAACGTTCTCTGTCTACTCAGACCGATAAATATTTATAGATGTCGCTCTAACGATGCCAAGTTTTATTGTGCGGTAGATTATTTTCAAACTTATTCTGTCCACAATCTTGGTTTTCAGCACACAAAGAGAAATTACGTAAATGGTTAAATACAACCGTGTTGAATCATCTCTTTTGTAAAAATCTCTAGGCAAATATTACCAGCTCGAATGTACTAGAATTGCTGAATTTGTGGTCTTTACACAATAACCTATAATTTTACGCAACGTGTCATTTAATTCAGCGTCGAATTCACGAAGCGATGATTGAGAACAAGTTCGCACAAATCTGTAATTGACCCGGATTGCGATGATTGTTTGTTGTGGGAAAGATAGTCTGATCATATTTCACTTTCCACACTCAGTGAGGGAAAAAAAAAAAAAAAGCTGAACGCGAGAAAAACGCGCGAGACGCGAAACGAACGCGCGGATATTGAAAGCGTTCTGAAAACGGAAGTTGAATACAAAATGCATCGAACTCGATGACTGATGAACTGATGAACATTATCAACGGATTCAGGGAAGGCTCAGTGTGAGTATTTCCTTTAATTTTCGTTGCAAAACCGTCATGGTGCGACTAGCTTTGCAGGCCGGATATCACTTAGAGAGCAGTGAAATTCATCGCTTAAAAGAATGAAACAGATTCGTTAATTTTGCATGACAATAATAGTGCAAATTCCTTATTCCTTTTACAGTCACAAAACCATGATAAGCGGTTCAACCTCTGACGCTTTTCAAACGGATGTAATCCTACGTGATGCAATTATCTTGAAGTTATGTAGCGGAACAAAGAGTTTCACATGAAAAGTCAAACCACGGAATCCTCGTAAATATGTCATGCTTCATACTCCATGCATCAGGGTAGTTTTGGATTATGCGAAATAAAAAACTCACTGAAAGGTCACGTCCCGAAATAGTTATTACATAGCACAAGCTCGATTTTCCTTGCAGGAAATACAGTATCTTGAAAATGAAATAATGACTTGTTGTGAAGGACCAATGCAACAATTTTGTGGATATTTGTTAAAGCACTACTTCGAATTTTACATAGACGAAGTCAGCCTTTTACCAAACGATTTCTGAGTTTTCCCCCAATTTCTAGCTGTTGTCTTCGTTAGAGTTTTCATTTTCATTTTAGTGTCTAACCAACCTCTTGTTGTTACCAAAGGAATGGATAATTGCACTTAACGAGACCGTCCATCACTTCAGATAGTAACCATCTCTTCACGTAGCTGAGTGTCGCGTAACAGGCTTTGAGTAAAAGAAAATATTTTCTGAAATGGATTCCTCTGGGATTTGAGTGGAAAACTTTGGTAAAATCAACGTAATATTTCCTCGTGGTAACATCTTCCTGGTTCTCATAAAAGATTAACATTTTAACACGATACTAATCAAATTATTAAGGAATGTTAATATCTTTTAAACTAACGCGATGTTTCTCGACTTGATTGGAAAGGTTTTTGCGCTTTTAGCCTATAGCTGCCGCTTACTATACAACAAAGTTTTCTCAGCAAGCCTTAGAAGGTTTTGTCTTTGTAAAACGAGAATATTCGATTCCTGGATAGAAGGCAGCACTAGGTGATTCTCCTGGATGAATTTCAGAGTGGCAGTTATTTCATTTTCCATTTTCCATTTCTAGATCAGCTTGTGCAAATAAATAAATACTTAATGGAGGAGTTTTTTTTCCAGTAATATTTTAAAAGGAAATTTTAGCCCCGAGAGAGAAGAAATTTAGTATGGGACTGCCATTCTAAGATAATGATGACCGTGTTTTGGGTCACTTAATTTGCAAAGGTGGAATTATTTTTGGAACTCCTTAAGGGAATTATCCGCGTATACTATTGAGTTGGAGAACAAGAGAAGACTGCCTTACTTTTTTTCGTACTCAGAACTGTGTTCCTTCCACGACGTTCATCATTCCCGCCAGGCCTTTCGAGCAGAGGCTTGCTTGGTAGCCGTTCAGCTTCTCTAAAACCGTAATGGCGTCGCAAGAGCGCCAATTTTGTTGTCAACAACGACAACAAATTTGTTTTGTGACAAGAATAAGGCTGTGGTCAATTGATGTGGCTCATTTTTGGAAGCAAAGTGACGATGCTGGTGGACGATGAAGAGCCTCTTTTAAACGTTTGGTTGACAGAAATATTGAATTTATTGAGTTGAGCCAAGGAAAAAGCTATGTCTTTGAAAAGTAAGAAATTTGAAAGAGGAGTGATTGCTTCCGGATCAGCCGAAAACTTGTCAGCGAAAAGACCAAGCTCAGCTAAGAGTAGCAGGCCAAGTTCTGCAGATGCAAGTAAATATTCAGCGAGATCAAATGCAAGTTTGGTGAGTGTTGTTCGTGTACGTTTCTGCAAGATCGGTTAAATGATTGTCATCGGAGTAGTTGTTGTTGGTTGGCGTTAGAAAACATTGCCATTGGGTGTTTGATATTGAACTTATGTTGAAGTAGATAAGTGGAGGCACTAACAGCTTAAAAACCTAAGGATGGCCTGTATGACAGCGTTTGCCAAGACCTAGCTGACATGCTATTTGTAATGTCACATATCTTTGGTACTGTACATTTTTCTTGCAAGTACCTAACCTAGACGTTGGTTTAACTTCTAAATACCTGAGCTACCTAAATACCTATATCCAACCGCATTTATAAGTGCAACATCATTACAATGACTTTATTCTCTATAAACAGGATTCTGATATGAGTGACTTTCTATCAGTAACTGGAACAAGCAAAGTTCCCAAGAAATCTAGTCACCATAAAAGAAGTAAGTCATATTTTCTGTCTGTCTGATTACAACCATTTTCTATATGGTACTTACGAATTACACCACAAATCACTTGCAACTCTGAAAATGCTTTGCATGCTTTACATGTGCATGACTTCAACTGACATATTTTTATCAATAAGATCACTGAATTAAAAAAAAAAATTAAAAGGGATTTTGACTAAGAGACTTCAAACTAACTGTTATGGCCATTGTAAGTTATGAAAGTGCCACCCCAATCACCATTCTCTTTTGCCACATTTTTTTTTTGGTGAACTTCATGTAGAAAGTTGTAGAATATTGAGTAAGCTGTGATCCAATGATAATATAATCAAATATCCTATTTAATGAACTACTTAGGGCAGCATCAGAGAATATTGGTCCTCTATCTTTTTCATTTAAACAGAGCAAAGTGTATAGGGGAATATTTCCCAATGCAGCCATTGCTCTTGAACAATAAGATGTTGATATGTGCAGAAATTGAAATTATGCTCTGTAATTTATGTATTAAGGTGGCAGTGCAGGCATTGTGAGGCCACAACACAATGAGGTTCATGTATCTGGTAGCGACAGTGACAGCGCAAGGACTAGCAGTAGCTCAGGAGCAAGAAGGAAGAATGTTAATAAAAAGACCATTCCCCCAGCAAGGTAATCTTTTTAAAACATGGTAAACCAATTACAAATCAAGTAAGCATTACTTGTTGAACAGAAAATTTTTCTAATTGGTTTATGCTGTTTGGAACAACTTGCAGCCTGGTGTGATAGTGCAGTCTAAGTGAAATTTAATAATCCATGTTGGAATGAAATTCTATTGTGCTTCTGCTTAGGTTTTCTGAGGATCATATCCCACACATCATGTCTCAAGCTAAAGCTCGCACTAAACCTAAACTGGCCACAACATTCCAGGTAATTTTGTTCAAACATGTGTATGTGCTTCAGGTAAACACTCTTTAAAATGAAGGTACCAGTAAATGATGTGTCACCATCCCCTTCTGAGATTCAGGCCCTGATGAAGGGCTATTGCTTGAACCTTCTGCTTTTGAAACTCTGGCCAATTAACATCATACTGAGAAGATTTGCATGCTTCTAAGTTGTCTCTCACTTACTGTGAATCACCTGACAGTATGGATAAAATGCATACTAATGTTAGGGTGTATTGAGTATTAATGATGTTGATATCTGAGGTCACTGATTTAAACATGTTATGTTTTTTTATTAAGCGCCACAGCAATGCTGCTAAAGCAAGCCCTAATGCTCTACCAGACAGACCTTCAGCAATGGTGCAGCATAGTGTTCAACCTGATGAAGTTGATGAATGGTGGCTGTCAGCTTCTGATCCTGCACCAGTCCCTCCACTGTTCCTGCAGTCTCCTACAGAATTGGACAAGAAACATAACTGGTGGCCTGGTGCAAGCAAGACAAGCAATCACATAGATGAAGATTTTCTTCAAAATGATATCAACAATTTGCGTCCTGGCAATAATGGTTTTGATCAGAATAACCTTGATTTTGACATTTTTGAAGGCAATGCAAGAATCAAGGGGGACAAATCAACAACAAAAAGAGAAGATGTACCAAAATTGTTTCTTGATGAACTTTTAGAGGATGAGGGTGAGAAAAAACGGCGGAAAGCTGCTGTGAACATTCAACGTTGGTTCCGTGGATGGAAAACCCGTAAGCAACTCAGAGGACAAAATGCTGTAAAGCAACTCTTAAGTCAGAAGAAAACTGAGAAGGAGAAACAGATGGTCAGTGACCATGCAAATGTACAGATGGAGGTAAACGTGTTTAATAACATAGCTGGTAAATTTGTATAATCAAATTCAATTGTGCGAGTGTGCTTCACATTCCTATTGTGCATGCTTATGATGTCAACAAACAAATCCCTCAAGAAAAAAAAATTTTCCATTAGCTTGAAAATGTTATAAAACAATTGGTTCATATTTCATCTGTGTGTTCATCAAGATATGAAACACTTGGGGAGTTTGGACACATCTTTGCATTACGCATCTTTTGTGCTCTCCAAACTTCCCACATGCTTCATATCTCGATGAACGCGTGCTGAAGTATGAACCAATTGTTAAGTGTTATAGTAAAAAAAAGATATACCTAATTTGATGATCAGCAACCTGGTAACAGTCTTAACTTTCCTTTGTATCTCTTAAGGATCAGAAGGAAGATGAAAAGAGGAAACGACGAGAAGAGAAAGCCAGATTGGCAAGACAGGCTGCTATAGAGGAACTACAAAAGAAGAGAGAGGAAAAACGGAATGAGAATCAAAGGAAGGCAGAGGAAGAACTGGTATTGGAAGTGATTTTTTATTGCAACTGAGTGCAACTTGAAATTTTTGTTTGACATTCAAGTAGGGTTTCAGCCATGCTGGAAGATCTGATGTTATCAAGAGTGGCACTTATCTGTCATTCTCTTTCATTACGTGTGCCTGCTGTCAAGCTGTGCAAAGCTGAAGCAAATCTAACAAATTAAACTAATTTGATAATTATAAAGCCTACTGTGGTTATGAAAAAAGTATTGTTTGAAGTGTTCTTAGTTGAATAAATCTTAAGTATTCGGTGATTACATGTAACTTTGCTTTTGTTTTTTGACAGGTTTTTCTCCAAGCTAGTGGGAAAGTCAGCAAAAAGAAGTCAGCAAATCTCAGTTCAGCAGTCAAATCAAAACCCAAAGGGAAGAAGAGCACAGTGGTAGGTGCATCCAATAGTGCTCTGAAAAATAACGAGCAAGGTAATCCCATTGAAATAACATCCAGACCTGGGACAGCCAGCAGTGTTGGAAGGAAAGTTGATGAGTTATTCCAGGTATGTCCAGTGTTTTCCTTTTCAGGCAGTAACTGGTAACATTTACTGCCTGTAGTACCTCTTATTACCATTTAAAATTGCTTGGAATTCTTGAAAATTCAACAGGTAAAAGGACTGCTTTACCGGTTTGAAAATTTATTTTACCTGTCATGCTTAAAATAAGGGAGAACACTGTATGTCACTCAGATCTATAAGGGGAAGTATCTTCCAGGAATGATTTTGAAACGACAAGATATTAAAAGTTAGCCATGGTTTGAGATAGCAGGGTTCAGCTGTATTGTGCATTCATGTTATTATATTTTGATCATAAACTGTACAAGTTTGTGGATTGATAACTCATGTTTTATTTACTGCAGGAATCTCGAGAATCTCAAGTTAGCACAGCTGCTGCCACTTCAGATGAGCTAGCAGCAGGACCCCTATTCTCTGATCGCACAGATGACACAGATAAGATAATAACCAGGTATGTTATGTATTTAGTTGATTAATTAGTCTCAACGATATGAAAAATCTCATATTTGCAACCTTGTCACTCCTAAGATCCAGAAGAAAATCTACTCAGCTGATAAACATGTATTTTTTTTAAGCTCTCAGGTTGGTGGTGAAAGCAAAACAACCTTTGATGACCTCTTGGAGTCCCTCAAACAGCTGGAGGAGGAACCCACTGATCTGCTTCCTGTAGAGCAGAACAGTGCACTTAAGTTTGGTGGCTGGGGTAAGAACTTGTTGGATTATTTTTTTATTATAATTATTTTGATTTTGTGGAATTTATCAGTGCAGTCAATCTATTGCATTCCATAACTTGTACAGTTTTCTCCACAGTTTTAGCTCTTGACTAAACATTAAATTTAAGGTCTCAATATTGGAACAGCTTCAAAGGTTTTTTTCTTATTCTTCTTGGTTGTGAATTGTTAACTTTGACATTTTGGAATTGTTATTTTTAGGACAAAACTTAGAAGATGGTGAGGAAGACAAGGTATGCTTACTTTTCAAGTTTTTAGTGAAATAAAGGAAAAGTTTAAATCAGGTCAAGTCATGTAATCTAGCCTGGAAGGCTGATTTTCAAGCACTTTGGAAAAAATCCTGGACATTTCCCTAGAATGTCTTGTTTTTTTCCAGACCAATGTGGGAAGAAGACATTTACTTATTTCATGTAACTCAAATAATGGAGAATAGTGCATAAATTTTCAAGTAGTTGGATCATGTTTGTCCATTTGTTCTTTCTTCCCTCCACTGTAGGCTTACCTTTCTCATGCTTCATTGGGCCACTTCAACAAAGATAAGCTTGAAAGGTAATTGCTTGTAGAGATGGAATGAAATTGTAGGCTTTACATTGTAAAGTTATTGTTCTATATTGTAGGCCTGTTTCATCATTCTGTATATGACATACACAGCAATTGATTGCGATGCCATGTTTTCAGCAAAAGTTTAGTATATTTTTTCTTCTCTTCTCAATTGCAGTCAAGGACAGACAGGAAGTGCATTGTCGGCTGAAAAACTACGGTACAGCTTTATCTACTCATGCACTCTTCAATGACTCATTTGAAAATCTTTGTTGAAGGACTAATGAGAAGGTTCAGACTTTCATATCCCTATTAGTAATCAGCCTGATCAAGGACAAGAGATTCTATAAGAAGTGTGACATACCCGTTAACATACATCTTCCATTTTAACAATTGTGGCCTTGAATACAACCTGTAGGGCAGGCTTGATAGCAAACCTTGCCACTGAATTGCTAGTCATCTTGAAATGTGATATGCTACTGTATAGCATTGACATTAAAATTTTTGCTGATTGGTAGAAAGTACTCAAATATGCAACAACAAAAAATGATAATAATAATGATGATGATGATGATAATAGAAAATATGCCACAATAATGTACTACCTTAAGCCAAATAAAAACCTCAGGGTGGGAATCAAATATTATTTCATATTCATGGTGTTCAGAATATCTGTCCCAAATTCATCTCCCTTGTAGCTCTCCCATGTTGCCTTGATGCAGGCGAAAATTTGGAAAGATAAGGTCTCTTTCCTTGTGAGTGTTCTGCTGCTTCAAGAGTATGTTGCAAATTATTTCCTAGCAGAAATTTCAGTCACCTTGAACTACAAAAATTTGTTACTGCACAACAGGAGAAATTGCTAATCCACCGAAAAAAAAGGACATCCTGCAAAATGTCCTTGTTGCTTGAAATCAGTATTCAAGATATGACTTGTGTAACTTTTTCGTTTAGGAGTATCTTGACATTTTTGGATGAGGTGGAAAAAGCAGAAGATGATGCCATCAGTGAGATAAGCCAGGTTGGTAAATGAATTCCAAGAGATCGCCAGCATTTTAAATTACAACTCTATTCCTGCTGGAATCTTTAGACCTTAAAATTAAACACGAACAAACTTGAGGGCATGAAACTGTCTCAAATTCATCGTGTGAATGTATCAAGATAGGGCTTGATCCTCCAATAATTTACCACATTTCATACAATCTTTTTACAAACACGATGTTTTCCACAATGCTGATCTCACGTGTAAAGACACTTGTTACTCATGAAACTAAAATTTTTCGCGCAAAAATTTTGTCTCCTAATTTCGAGTGTCTTGAAACTTGTTTCGAGCGTCTCGAAATTCGACTCGAACGTCTCTTAACTCGACTTGAGCCTCGATCCCCAAGGTCGAGTTTTGAGTGACCGTCACTTGCTTTTGAGAGGTACTGTCTAAGGCATATATAGTCACCAACACGTTCTCTATAGTGCAATGGTAGAGCATCAGACCTTGATCCGAAGGTCTGATGTTCAAATCTCGAAGAGGAACTTTGATTTTGTCTCAGAGCCACGCTTGTTACCAACAACAACAATTAAATTTAGTTGTGGTGGTGCTGTACAATATTTTTCAGGCACGAGACGGTGCTATTTCTCGTGGACTACCGTCATCAAGTACCTCAGCTTCTGTGGCAGTTGACAGGGAGTAAGTGCTTACAGTTATCTAGTCAGTGTAAACAGTCGCCTCCCAAGCAGACTATCATGAACCCTTTACACCCTGACATCATTATGCATATTCTCCATACTGTTCTCTATAAATTTCTTAAGATACTGCCGAGGAGAATTCTTTGGCAAGACACTTAACTCTCACCATGGTCCTCTTTACCCAGGAAAATAATAGACCAAGAAAACTTGACAAGATATGATAGGGGAAGGGATCTGGGGTTTCTATAAAAGCAGATGACTAGCGGTCTACCGCCGCCTGTAAAACCTCTCACCGCCGGCTGTTGAGCTTGCGAGCTGGCTCTCGCGGCCGCCTATTACACCGTCGGCAGCCGCCCATGAAAAAAGTTATTGAACTCATTGAAACCCCCCAGGGGATGTTTCTGTAGATGGACTGACATTTGGCCGAAAAGTGATTCAATACTCTTAGTCTCTCTTTCCTACGGGAGAAGTTGTGGCAACGTGAGGAGGAAGAATTATAAGATCGCCTTTAGCTTTCTCCCTACATTTGTCATATTTTGTGGTCTGATAATCTGGGTATAATTTGTTTATAATTAACTTACGTTTCCTGTCTGGTCATAATCTTGACTTAGTAAATACTCTTTCTTCGCTGCAGGAAGGAAGAAGCCGCGCTAGAATCAGCCGCAGCAGCTGCTTCGGATGTTACAACAGCTATGATGGCGGTAAAAATAGAACTGGAGGAAAAGAAAAGGACTAATGATCTGCTGCAGAGAGCTTTGGTAGGATATGATCTGGGAGAGAATGGGAAATGATCTTCGAGAGGATGGAAAATGATCTGGAGGGGTAATGGGATATGATTTGGGAGGGGATGGGAAATTATCTTCGAAGGGACGGGAAGTGATCTTCGACGGGATGGAAAATGATCTTGGAGGGGATGGGATTTGATTTGGAAGGGGATGGGAAATAATCTTTGAGGGAATGGGAAATGATCTTCGAGGGAATGGGAAATGATTTTCGAGGAAATGGGAAATGATCTTTCAGGGAATAGAATGTGGGAAAGAGTGGGGAATGATAAGGGAGGGGATGGGAAATGTCCTGGAATTCAGCAAGAATACGGTAGTCTGGGAGGGGTGGGAAGTAATCTTTTGTTTGAAGATGTGAATTACCCTTCTCACGCTTTGTGTTATGGTTTTTTAATCGGTCGAAAAGAAAATTCAAACTTATGCTCTTTTAAATTTGTCATTGTCTATAATTACTCTATTGGTAATATATTGGCTCTGACACTAGAACCAACAGCGTGAATTCACCCTGAGGCAAGCGAAGGAGATGGAAAAGGACGCTAAACAACGGCTGGCCATACAACGTCAGGAGTATGAAGCAGCCATACAGAGACATTTGTCCTTCATAGACCAGCTGATTGATGACAAAAAGGTGTTAGGGGAAAGGTGTGAGGAAGTAGTGAACAAACTGAAAAGTACTGACAAGAAGTACGGAGATAAAGTCAAGCAAATGGAAGAAAAGTGAGTATAACCCTTTAACTCCCAAGATCTGATTGTTAATTCTCCCCTCTAGCTGCTACGCATTTCCTTGTAAATTAGTTCCAAGAATTTGATGTCAGATCAAGGTCACAACATCTGCCTGATTAGTTTGAGTATTCTTATTGCCTGTTTGCTGAATAATGTAGGGATATCTTAGGGAGAAGTTACATGTTAATCACTGCTGGGAGTCGAAGGGTTAATAATACAATGTCTTTAGGCGTAGCCTTCAGGGCGTTTTATTTGTCTGTTGTAGAAAATTTATCTGGAATGAATTGATGGCTTTCCTGTTAAATTCTCGAACCTCCTACATTTATATTTCGTGTGTTGTTGTTCTCTGTCATCCTAGTAGTCTCTTTGATTAGTGAACGTTCTTCATGAACTTTCTTGGTCATGAAATTTTCAATGCCATTGAGAGATTAGAGAGAAGTTCCTCATTCTATATTCTTAAAGAACAATAGTAAAAGTCTTTGTGGCCTCACTTTCATTGATGGCATCAGGAACCAGTCGTAATTTGAGAAATAATATCTTACAGGGGAAATAACAAGACTATCTTTCCTTTTCAGTCATCAAGTTGAATTGAAGAAACAAAAGGAAGTTATACTGGCGGCAGAAAAATTACGACGAGAAAAATGGATTAATGAGAAAACTCAACAAATCAAGGTAAAGAATCCTTAGTGACATGGTCGTTTCGCTTCCAGTAATTTTAAAATGCTTAAAACGCTTTATGCCTTGTGGGGAACGCGGTATATATTTGGTTAGCGCCCTTGAGTCAGCATCGAGAGGTCTGGGTTCGAACCTTTACCTGGGTTGAGTTCTCGGGCAAGACGCTCCACTCACATACTGCCACTCGTCAACATGGAATTTAAATGGTTCAGATACAAACAACTTTTTAGGAACACGCGAAAAATGCCGAGAGCATTTGCAATTGACTAGCGTCCCTTCCAAGGGAGTGGAAATCGCTTCCTGCTGTGGAAACCAAACTAGATCCTAGTTGTGTGGGCCATTTAGCTCGTGTGCAATTTTAGCCTCACGCCTTGTAAACTCGGTTTGAAATTTACAGGAAGTCACGGTCAAAGGACTGGAACCTGACATTCAAAAACTGATTGCCAAGCATAAAGCGGAAGTGAAAAAGATCAAGTCTACTCATCAGGTGGGAACCTCATTGGTATCTGCTGATCATGGCGTATTGCGAATCTGGAAATCTGATTGGTTTTCTCTGATAAACTGTGATCGTTGGCGCCTCGATTTCTATCAGAAGCTCAGCCTTTTCTTGCTACAAAATAGATATAATTGAATACTTTCACGTGGCTCCCTCTCGTTGTCACCCATAGTGTCCGCAAGGATTAATGACTGATCAGTGAAAACATGTTTTACAATTGTGAATTATTCGATGACAGGCGGAGCTGCTGGAGGCCGATGAACGTGCAGGCAGAAGGTACATTCAGCAAATAGAAGAACTGAGGGATCAGCTGGAAAGAGAGAAAGAAAATGCCTGTGCTCGAGAGAGAGAACTCTCTCAACAAAGGTAGATATTCTTTCAGGTGTGAATTTTCTTTTCAGTTAAAACAACAGCCAGTGCGGTAGATAGTAGATCATCGTCGATGGTTGGTAAACTTAAACAAGTTTTTGTTCTAGTAGTTCGGAGATTTGTATAATTAAGTGTTCATTTCCTTTGTTTTTGTAGGTATGAAAAGCAGCTGGAGCAAGAGGAACAAGCTTATCAACAACAGAGGCGGCGACTGTACGCTGAAGTACAGGAGGAGAAGGAAAGAGTAGCACTACAGGGTCAGAAACAACGACAGGAACTGGACGAGGCGCGAGCTGCCTTGGAGGTAAGTAAAGGTGTCCTGTGGAATTGGAACCACAGCTAAACCAATCAAACTAGGAGTTAGTCCAATAGGAAAAGTAAGACCGTCTAATTTGGCCTACATAATCATTATTACTATTAATATTTTTCAAGTTTGTTGTTCGAAATTCGTGTTGATCTTCTCCACCTTTAGCCATCTTTGTTTCTTCTTCATTCATCATGGCCTCTTGAGTGTTTTTCTGTTTTACCGAACTAAAGGGGGATTAGATTATGAGCTCGTGATGACTCGATATGAATCGTGCGCTCAAAATTTAAGTGGTTTTGTTTAAATCTACTCGTCACTCAAAACGTGACAAGTTATGCTCAAGTTTTTCTTTAAGTCGTTTACAACCACTCACTATTAGGTTTGTCACGTGACTTTCTATCACGGAATAGATTACTAGTAGTGTCACCAATTAAATTGCAGCATTTGTGTTGGAATGTTAGTAGATTTATACTAATATTCTTGAAGTTGGGGTGTTAAACACGTCCGGAAATACAGCCTCTCTAGCCTTATAAACCACGAGCGTAAGGACAGAACTGTTTTCAGACTATCCCAAGGTTTCAGCAATCTTCGTTTCGTTTCGTTTTTGGTACTTAGCTGGTTTTTATTTTTGTAGGAATCTCACAAAAAGTCAATCCTAGAGATGCAAACTTCACACCAAAGAGCTATTGATGATCAAGAAAGAAAACACCAGGTAAAGAAATATTCAAATTACTTCCGGCCAATTATCTTTAGTAGCATTATGGTGGATGGATATATTGTCGCTCAATTTAATCTTTGGTTAAATTCAACGTTCTTGCACACGGCCATTCTCAGCCTAATTAAGGACTCTGCAAATATATAAACCGACAGAGCAAATTGCGAGTAGATTGAGCGTATATTTTTTTCTACGTAAGGGATTACGACACTCCTCTGTTGCTACATTTACGACATCTAACCCGCTGAGACTTGTAGTGGCTTCAGTAGAGTTTTATAGATGTCTCACTCTGTGTATTCAGACATTTCTGTCTTTTTCTATCTGTTAAATACAAGTTAACTGAGGGAATCATTGAACCTAAGGTGGGTTTTGGTTTGCATTGCAGTTGGAAATGAATGAGTTGAAAGAGAGACTTGAAATTGAGAAGCAGGGCTGGATTGAAAATTACATGAAGAAGCAGGTAGGGTACTTTAAAGACAGAACTCAAATTTACTCTTTTGGTTTTGAGCAATCGGTTATATCATAGAGTTTCTGGAAACCTGACCTCTAAAGAATTAATCAAAGTAATGTGGCCCTTCATTTTCCCTCAGAAATATGCCGAAGGTATCTACCTAGGCTGCCTGACTGTTCCTCTTTGTTTTTGTGCGTTTGTTTACAGGATGCCATGTTAATGACTAAAGAGCGGGAGCTGAAAGAAGCTGTTCGGGAAGGACGCGATAGAGTAAGTAAAGTCGACGATTTACGCTTTGCAGAAATTATTCTCGTTATTTCATCTCAGTGTTCTTGAGGGGAGGCTCATGCCAATTTATTGATGTTTACTTTCGCATTTCGTTATACTTTTTAATAGCTGGCGGTTTTGTCTGTCTTTCTCTTCATCTGTGTCCGCCTGTCTTTCTCTCTATCTATCTGCCTACCTTTATGTCTTTCTGTCTGTCATTCGCTCTGAAAAAGGGCTAACGCTCGAAAAGTCAGCTTTGAAACTCTCTACGGTGGCCAATTTACGTTACCAACTCAGCTGATAGTACTAACTTACCCTGTCTCTGTCTGTTTGTCTGCCTGCCTGCCTGTCTATTTGCCTGTTTGTCTGCCTGTGTGTCTGTTTATCTATCTGCTTGTCTGTCTTCCGGGCTGTGTGTCTGTCTGTGTCTGTGTCTGTGTCTATCTATCTGTTTTCTGTCTCTCTTTTACGCATATTGTCTACCGTAGGAAATTGAAATGGTGATTTCAAGATTGGAAGAAGAGACATCGTTGGCAAGAGAAGAATGTGAGCGAGCCGCGGAGAACAGAATCAAGTAAGTGTCTAGAATTGACATCTTCCTGACCTAAGCCTGATTTCATATGAGGTTTAGTCAAAAAGGCAAAAATGTATACAGTCGTCGACGATCGACGAGTGGAAAGTCCATGTTGTATTTCAATGAAATTAGATTGGAAGTACTCTTAGATTGGTTTGGTCTTTCAATTACTGTCGTGATGCTAGTCGTAAATGTAGTTTAGAATACAGAATTTGTCAGTTTGCTTTTAAAATTTTTAAACTTCGCGTAAACTTAAATCAACCAATTAGACGCAAAACTAACTCGGGGATACAGAAACATTTTTGGTTATGTGCCGTAAACATAAAAAAAGACCTTTTCTGCTCTAAGAAGCGCTATCGAAAGTTTAAGAAAACACGAAATCTAACGACGGCGTATTTCTGGCTTTTAGGCGAGTGAGAGATAAATACGAATCTGAACTGAAAGAACTAGAAGAATCTGAACGGAATATGCAGGAAAAATACAACAACATGAAGGTAAGAAACAAACACGAATTTGTATCAGTTAGTTGGTCACCCGCGTTTTCCCGCGCCTTGAGCAGTTTGGTTGGTTTTACTTTGAGTTCTGATTGGCCGTGGTGATTACTTTGGTTTTGGATTTACGACACTCGATCGAAAAGCCCTCTAGTTACGATAAACCGTCAATTATCATCTGCAGTTATATTTTGACCGGTTACCTCGGTTGTATAATGATGAAAGAGTGAGATTTTCAGTTTTATTTGGCCCGTGTTTGATTCCGGTTTGCGACCCTCTGTTTTATTAGCAAGAACACCTCCATTTATAATGAAGAACCCTTAGGTGTTTCGAAAATGTTATCAGTTGTTCACGAAAGGGGATTTGCCAATTTTTTTCTTTTCACGTTCCAGTTATTATTCAACTTATTTAAATTCCCAGTCATGGCAGAAGTACTCGTTTGTTACAGGCTCGTTTATCCGAAGTTGAAGGAGAAAATGCGCGTTTGAAGAGCATGTTGAAACAAAAAGATGAAGAAGTGGAAGGAATTGATAAAGTGGCCAAACGGCTACAGGAAGAGAGAGGGAAGGTGGCCGACATCATTCGGCAGGAGTTCGCTGACAGGTTTGTACTAATAATAATAATAATAATAATTTTTTTTAAAATTTTTATTAAAAAAGTTGCACAACGTTTTTAATCGCGACTTCGTGGCTTGTAATCCTACATTTCTAAACAGTTGAACTATTTTTCCTGTTAAAAAAGACATGTTCCCGGCCTCTAAAATTCAAAAATTTCAGTTAAAAAAAAAAACCAAAAAAAAAACCCCTAAATATATATATATATATATATATATATATATATATATATATATATATCTATATATTTATATAGCTGTTGAGTCTAGGGAAGCCCTGCTTGACCCTTCTCTATTTTCTATTATAATAATAATAATAATAATAAAGCACCCTCACGTGAATTTATCCCAAACCAATTAAATGCAAACATTTAAAAGCCAGTCGCGATCTGGTCACACGCGTTTTCCCGCGCTTGAAGCTGGGTAGATTTATTAATTTGAGTTACCATTTATTCCTTCTGATGTCCTTCATTCCGAATTGCCTTTGAAAATAGTTTGGTTCCGGTGAGCTCAAGCAAAATACGATCTTTTCGAATGCCTTTATGCAAAGAGATTCAGAAACTTTGAATTTTTCACTTTTAATCCAGAAAAACATATTTGTTAAGCTATTTGCTAGATGTTGAATGCCTCTGCTTAAAGACGAGGGTCGGTGCGAAGCCTTTGATGATTGATTGAAAATTCCATTTCAGTTAGCCTCGTTTTCAAAGTGAGAGTTTTGCAACTCGGAAATGACGTTATGTTGTTAGCAGATATTCAATTCTTTTCTGCATATTCTAGGCTTGTAACCACTGACGAAGACAACAAGCGTTTGAAAACAGAAGTGAGCGAAATGAAGGCCCGTCACAGATTAGAAATAGAACGAGTTACACGAGAGAAAGAGCAAGAAATGGAGGAAGTACACAAGAGGTTGGTTAATTGCCTAAGACGCAAAGATCATGTGGCTGGTGGGTTAAACTCTGCTGGAATCGGAAGGTCTGGGTTTGAGCAAGGGAGACCTGAGCTCTGAAAAATATTTTGAGGGGGGTGGGGCGGGGGAAGAGCGATACTTACAGAGTGGTTGTAGTGAGAAAATTGTGATAAACGTCCGTGGCCATGCTAGTCGGTTTGGTATACAGTTTTGGTAATTTGGAATTTTCGCAAAGATTTTGAAACGATCTGATCGACTAACGAGCTTCCATAAAACATCCATGACCGCATCTTAAGCTGTACGAATCCGTGGTCGTTAGAAATATTTCTTTTTGCATTTTTCTTCCATTTAAATATGAACAATGCTGAGATATATTTTTATTCTTAGTTTTCAATCCCCTTATCACCTGAGGTGTCCCTTGATCGCCGGCAGATATTTTACAGGTTTTGAGTTTGTACGTGTCTAGTTCGTTATTTTTTATTGAAAATTGTTATCTGTTTTACACCGCTAGAGTAAGGCAGGCCATAGCTAAAAAAGAAGAAACTATGAAAACACTACGGGAACAACACCAGGTGAGTGTTCTGAAGTCAGTTTTTCATGAACCCATGTTTTCAATCTCGTCATACGCATCACAAGTTTGCTCCAATCTGAGCATGGCGGAAGCTGCTGTTTTCACCCGTCTGACACTCGTTTCTTTCTGTTTGCTAATGAAAAGTTAAACTTTGACGGGAAATTAGATCAGTGATAGCCTTTGACCAATGAAAATACTTTTCTAGATCCATGGTTTTTTTTTTTTTTTTTACACACATTTTTTTTTCTTTTTGCACAGGCTGCCATGAAACGAGCGGAACATTTGGAATTTTTACTCCAAGAACAAAGAAAGAAATTGCTGTCTTGAGGCTAACCCTTATCTCCCAATAGTGCCAACGTTTTGCGACATCGCCCGATGTATTACCGAGTTCTTCCGAAGACCGCGCGATTAAAGTCGGTACGTGTCAACACAACCGAATGTCAACCAAAGCTGGACACTTCTGCATTGTTAAGTGCTCAAATGGACGTTCAAATCCCACAATAAAGGGGAATTCTAATGGATTAGGCCCCATTGGTAGAGTAACCTTTGCCCAAGAATCTATTTGTACTGCTCAGACCCAAATGAAGATTTTCGATATCTCTGTCAATAGAGGAACCAGCATATCTGTATTTATGATGTTACGTGCATTTTGAATCGACAGTAATAAATTTTTTAACTGGTTTTTTATTCTCTTCCTTTTTGTTGTTGTTTCGTTTTTTAAGTTTGCCGGAAAACACCAGAAAACTTAAAAACTGGCGTGTTCTGGTTATCGGCAAAGTGATTTGCTTCTAGAAAAACTGCTCTGTAATGGTCAACGCTTCCTTTAAACTGCACAAACGAACCGATAAAACAGCATAAGTAAAAGTGTAACAATTATGAATTCCGCCTGTTACAGATGGTATGCATCATCATCATAACAAAGATGAAACTGACTGGAAACGAAATGTTTCTTTCTCATGTCTCTGCACTGGTGGATAAGAAAGATTTATATTACTGACTGATCAAAGGGTGATTGACGTAAACTTTCTGTAGACGAGCACGGTAGCTTTGGTCTAGAGCTAGCTTTGAAATTTTACATGTTTGTTCGTCTTCCGAAGATAAGCAGCAACCTTGTGGGTGCTAATATTACGCAAGATCACTTAAAAAGCTCTTCTATTGTAGCATAGCTTTCTTTCATGATATTTTATCGCAATCTTTAAGCTTCATGAGAAAATCTCCCACAAACCTGTCAGTATTATTTCTATAATAAAAAAATAATTATTGTTAAAAGGCGAGGGCAGATGTAATATGAACTAGCACTAACATATATTTCAGTCCGGCGCTTCTTCACCGCTACGTTCAAAATCCCTTGTGCGTTTCACGGCTTTCTTTTCTATTTATGTCATTTCCTCTTGTGCTTTTTTTTTCACGAAGACAGTAATTTCCTATTTTAAAATGGGCACAGCTGCTTTTACTTAAGTTTTTCCCCAAAAGTGCCTACGACACGGATTTTTTTTTTTTTTAATTTTCTGGTCAATAGCTGTTTTTAAAATTATAAATAATCGACCTCAGTGCCTAGCGAGTTCTCCTTGACCATTTTTTCGTGCATTGAAAGTACGATTGGCGGCCGAAAAGTGTCCCCATAAAGCGCTCGGCTAAAACGATCATGTTACATCGCTGTGACGTAAAAAACTGTGAAGACACTTCGGTAACCATGGTGGAGAAAGGAGAAATCTAGAAGAAAGGACGAGCGTATTGCGTTTAAACGAGCGTATTGCGTTTAACGTATGACGTTCGCTGACTGATACAAAATTACAAGAGATGTGAGATATTTGTGGGAGTCAATGGAGAGTTTTCACAGTTCTCTACGTCATCACCCGCTAATTCGTTACCAGTCCACGGGACACTTTTTAAGACAAAATAAGAGCACTTTAAAGCCCAAAAAAACCGAGTTTTAAGATTTTTGAACTTTTTCTTCTATCGAAATTGGTTTGTACATATGATAAGCAAAATATTTACGCCAAAAAAATTTTTGTGTCCGAAGCACTTTGAACAATGGAAATGTGGTGGGCGTAATATATTTACACTGGACTAGTTTTTCCAGTGCAATTTCCGCGGCATTTTTCACTGTTTTGCTGTCGTGGCAAATTATGATTTCATGAAACGCTGCTTTCGTTGAAGCTATTTAAATAAGATATCATGAAAAGCATACGTATTTAATGCAACTGGTACGTTGATCAGTAGAAATATACTTTTTTTCAACGAAACACCTGTTTTTTGTTTTTCTTTCACTAAAGGTAATTGCATTCCAGTGCCTGTATAGGATTCAAGGATAATGTAGCAACATTCGAACGGTTTGTCGTTTTATGCTGGGTGTGCCATAAACTATATAGTAACATTTCTTCGTTACAATTTTTCTGCCGTTATTTTGAGAGAGAATCATAAGAGCAAAACTGTAATTTTTTGTCAGAAATAATCTCCTTCTTCCAATTTTGTCTTCTTTAGCGTTATCATACAATCAGTCCTCAGAACCTTTGTTAGACAGCTTCTCCTTTGCCTTTATTCACGAACTGAGTGCATGAAGACTGCGTTTTTAATGTAAGTTTTCTCTTTTGTGCCCTCTTTGAGATATGTCATGGGTTTGTTCCTTAAGTACCTTCCAACTCAAGCTTCACATACCAACATTCTTTCTTAATTTTTTCCCTAATTTAACGGTCACTCTCAAACAAACTTCTAATTGCAAACACCCGCCTTTGTTTCATGCGTGCTTTCACCATAACGACGGATACTAATAACACGGAAATGAAGTTATTTTCATTAGAATGAATAGTTTAAAAAGATAAAATCAGAGCTAACCGTTTTTTCCAACAAACAGATTGCAAATCAAGCAGCCACCAGACGCTGCTGTAAATTTCGTGGCGGCCTTCTTGTTGGCATAAAAAATCGCTGTCGGCGTTAATTTTACGAAGGGAAATTCTTAGAGAACCCTATAATTGGAGCGTTGAAAAAGTCTCTTTTTGTGTTGTGCAACCAAACCATGCCTTTGGCAATCATTTTGGAGACAACCACCCTCTGCATCATTGGTTCAGCTGCGTTTATTGGTAACGTCAGCTTGTTCATCATCGTCTACAAGGACAAAGATCTTCAAACCGTTACCAACTTGTATATTCTCAATCTGGCTGCGGCTGACATTATGGTGTCGATATTAAGCATTCCATTCACAGTTGTAACCATCATCACAGAAGATTGGGTGTTCGGAGACTCCGCTTGCGTAGCGCTCGGCTTTTTCACGATTTTATCCTTCATTGCTTCGGTGATGTCTCTTGGCATGATCGCCATCAACCGATATTTCTACATCGTCAGATGGAACACTTACTCAAAGATATTCTCCAGGAGAAAAGCCTTGCTCTATGCCGCCGCAGTTTGGGTAGTCGCCTTATCTTTGGCTTCACCTCCGCTTTTAGGCTGGGCTGAATACCGCTTTATCCCTGGAAAGTCTTACTGTTTTGTCTACTGGCCTTCAGATGTGTATTACATGTATTTCATGATCACCGTCTGCTTTTTCGGGCCTCTTTCAATAATGACGTTTTCGTATTGTAACGTGCTCAGGTTTACTAAGAATCTAAAGAGACGAATTGCAGCAACAAGGAATAATTTTGTAAGGCCAGCTCCCACAATACCAAATAAAGTCGATCTCCAAACGGTTGAAAGATCGCAGACGGGCGAGCGACGCGAGGCCGACTCAAACTCGAAGTCAACGTCAAGATCTCCCGGATTTCAAGTGACACCAGAAGAAACCAGGATCACCAACACGTTTATTTTTGTGGTCACCCTGTTTGTTATTTGCTGGGCACCATTTGCCATCACCATGTTCTTCGATGTGTATTACCCAAAGCCTTTACCGCGCGCACTTGACATGGCTTCCTTAATACTCGGTTATTTGAACAGTATGTGTAATCCTGTTCTTTATGGATTGCGCAATTCCGACATCAGACAGGGAGTTTTAAATTTGTACTCGAGGTTTTTACCTGAACGGTTTAGAGCCAAAACGTGATGCAACCAGAGGTTAATGGAGACGAGTCTTAATCAGTCGTTTGAAGTTTAGAATTTTAATGCGTAATTTAATTTAATAAGTGTAATTCCATCAAGCAATGAGACTGAAAAAGTTTTTCTCTTATATAACGGAAAGATCTAAGTTTGTCGCTTTCATTTTGAAGATAAGATTTCTTTTTCCTACGTTTAAATGTTGATATTCCGTTCAATGACCTTGATTAAGGATATTTGTACGTAGGATTGTCAGGTGCCTGATAATCTGTTCTTAATACTTTAGTTTAGAAAAGGAAATAAATCAGATTTATAAGTCTTGATGCGATCGTTCGAAAGCTGCTACACCAAAGGTTACGTACTTATTGACTGAGTGGGAGGGCCGGCAGGGGCTCGAGGTCATGACGTACGGACTGAGCGCAGCGCGTCATGACCAAATTCCGAATATTTTCCCGTCCGGTCGAACCAAAGAGGTGTTGAAAAGTTCGTTTCAACCTGAGTAGGAGGTGGATGGGCGCATGCGTGACAACCACAAAAAAGACTCAACAATAAAAGCCAATTTCCTCTATATTTTCGATTTATGGGCAAAAAACTCACAATTCATCGAAAACGCGACTGATGTTCTCAGTTTCTCGTATCAATGTCTATTTTGTGGCAACAACGCCGTACGACTTTTCCGAAAAGACTGATGTCAACCCGTCCGGACTTTCATTTTAGTTTCCTCAAAGAATGCGCGCGCGGGACTGGACGGGTCATACACAGGCAGAAATCGGGAAAGGAATGGAGATATGTGACCTGGATAAATCGGGAATAGCCGCTTCTTTCTCAGAGATTTTTAGTTTTTTGACAGACCCTTACAAACTCCCCGATAAAGTTTTGCGGTGGTAAAGCATCAGCCTTTTGACTTTCAATTTCAATCTTTCCTTGCGGAAGAATATCGGGAAAACCTTCCTTTTATGACATGTGGTATTTGTCTATTCCGTGACAGCAGGGACTGATTTTGATTGACCTTCTTTTTTTGAGGTGAGAAGCTTTTAAAATAATGTTAACGCGATAGAGAGTAACATCATGATAATGCCCCCATGTTAGTTTTGAGTCGCACCTATATCAGATTTTCCAGTCTCAATTAGAGTTATTATTTTAGGAAAACGTGCTTGTTACCGCATCACGCATTGATAAGGAACGTGGCAGCTTCATGCTTCATCAACACCTAATAATTCTTCTTTTGGAAATATACTTTCGTTTTCGCAACGCCCTAAACATAATCACGTAAAGTTGTGTAATGGAAGCTTCGCTATGACTATGGTATTTAATGATCTCGGAATCGCGACGATCATAAGATCAGCTACCACTTGAGAACGTTTCTGGCTTTCTTATGTGCGGCTCGTTACCAAAGTAAGTCTTTCATCTTAACCTCTATTACAAGTTTCAATTGCCGCGAAGTTTTCAAAGCCCAACTGTTGTTATAATATCACGCCATAATTTTTATCAAATTGCTGTTTTCATCATCTAGATATGTTTAAAGTTACTACAGTTAGTTGAGTTCTCTAAATATATACTACTGTACTTTGATATTATGTTCTCGGCATCCTTGTGTGCTGTCAGTTGTTAGTTAACAACTATTTACCTCAGTGTCGGCGTCTAGTGGTGGATATTTG